AGGCAAAATGCATGCACAAATAGTGGACTCCAACATTCCTTAATCCCATAATTCCAATCCTGTTCCATGCCAAGAACCACGTGTACTTCATTACATGTTTGAATACCTTGGAAAGTGTACTGGTCGTACAGTACCCTCCCCTTTGGATTACTTCCTACGCCCTTGCTATATTCTGATTAAAGTAATGTGAGCGGTGTATCATTGCCGCACCGTCGTTCAGAAAATCCTTGATTTTTTACAAAGTTCCATATGCTTGTAAAATCACTCGCCTTCGGCTCGTGCTTTCGCTCGCTTTTCTTAACCCTCGCAACATTCCCGCGTGTTTGGATCAGGCCATCCAAACACAGAAACCATAAAGTAATTGTATAAACTTAATCGCATTAAGTCGTGTATCATGCATAAATTATACTGATTGATTAATTACACATTCAGTGAACATTTAGACAAACTTTTACCAATTTCTTTGTCTGTTTTGAACCAAAATTTAATAGACCTTATGCATAATGACGTCACAAGGCTTGATGCCCGCGAGGAATGCTGGTCTTAGTAGTCATCGCCCGGGAAAATTTTGATAGTGGCCATTTTGAATTGTTTAGTTTTCCCGGGCGATGACTACCAAGACCAGCATTCCCCGCGAGTATCAAGCCTTGTGACGTAATTATGCATAAGGTCTATTGATTTGTCCTTGGCCTGTTTCCATTACTAGCCCTGCGAATAGTACGATATTGTTGTAGTTTTCGTGCTAACAGACTGAACGCGCGGTATGAGGACAGCCTCTTCCCCAGGCGCTTTGATTTGCTGCGCCGTTTCGTGAGAAATGGAGGAGCTGAAGCGCACGAAAGCAATCGCGCTTGTCAAAATACAGGGAGAGAATATCCAGTGATCCTAGGTTTTCACATTTGCAGAACCCATAATAACGCCACTGTATCTATTCATTCCGAAAACATGTAACAACAGCTAGAGGTCCAGATCCAAACTATTGTGAGTGTTTGCTTAGCATTTAGCCTTTTAAAGGCATTCCGAACACAGGTGGCACATCCGACGGGATTTATGTAACTCATCTATGTTAGTCAACGTTCATTCATAAATATGGTCCTTCACCGTCGAGTGGAAGTCAAATCTCAACCTCTCCTAACATGGGAAACATAGGGTAGGAATTATGCCGTAGTTTGCCATTATACAAGTATATACTAAAAGTGTATGTTTTTAAAAAAACAAAGGCGATGTATATGTACTATTATTTAAACAAGTTTGTCACCAAGTTGTCTTCGCACTGCTTGTCACAAGTTGTCAACAAGTTTGGAACAACCTGTTAACAATTTGTAACAACCTTGTTGATATTATCAAGCTTGTTATAAGGTTGTTCCAACAAGTCCGATACAGTCATGATATAGCAGTATTGTTACAACCTTGTGTCGTCAACCTTGTAACATTCTTGTTTATCATGACTGTAGAACAACCTTGTAACAAGTCTGATAATGCTATCAAGCTTGTTACAAGTTGTGAACAGCTTGTTCCAAACTTGTTACAACAACTGGGAACAAGCAGTGCGAAGACAACTTGTTGACAGCTTGTGAACTGATTTGTAACAACTTGTTTGCAGACTTGTAACAACTTATGCATTTTCACGTGTCTAGTAGTATACTGCAGCAATTTTGCAAATCACCTATTCCCCCCTCCCCCCCCCCAAAAAAAACAAACACAATTTGAATATCTGCATTTTATTCACATCAACATGATCCTACAGATTTTCTATTTCTCACTCTTGGATTCTCTCACACTTGATTGCCGACGTCTCTTTGCCAACATCTCCTGTCGTTTCTCCTTCGTTTCCTTGGCACGTTTAGCCAACAGCTTGTGATATTCGGCCTGGTCCTCCCGATTTTTCTGCACCCGGTTCTTTTTCTCAGCCATGTGGCGTCTACGACGCTGCAACCTTTGTGGCGTGACCAACCTCTGAATCTTGGGTGCCTTTGTCTTCGGCTTCTGGCCTTCTTTCACCGGAAGTGGACGTCGGATGACGAACTGTCTCACATCGTCTTCTTTGCTGAGGTTGAACAACTTTCTGATTTTGTTGGCACGCTTGGGCCCCAGCCGTCTCGGCACAACTCGGTCGGTAAGACCCGGGATCTCTTGCTCACCTTTCTTCACAATGACCAAATTGAGCACGCTCAATTGGGCATCAACAATGCAGCCGCGGACGGACCTTCGTTTCCGTTCGCCAGTTCTTCTCGGGCGATAGCAGGAGTGACCTTTGGCTAAGAGAAGTCGGACTCTGCCATTCGTCATAACACCTTGCTTCATTGGGAAGCCCTGTTTGTCGTTTCCACCGCTTATACGGACAACATAGCCCTATAGAAAGAGGAACATTCACATCTTAGGGCTTTATTACAAGGAAAATTGGTTGCTAAAACACTCTGGTCATGTCTGCCATGGTTGATAATATCTATCTTGTATTTCAGTTCAAAAATACAGGAACAATTACAAAACAAAATCGTAGTTTAATTTGTTCAGTTTGCAATTGTACAACAGAAAGACATGTGATAGAATTTTCAAAACTTGCTTCACATTTTCTGTTTTCATATGAAATTTACTTCATGCAAAACCTGAGAAATACTTCGCGAAGTGTGAGCCGCTAATTTGTGCTCTGATTACATCAGTCGACTTGACATGGCTGTGCCAGCGAGAACAAAATAGAAACTGGGTTTTAATTTAGCTCCACACATGAACTGGTAAAGGATGTTTAATACCTTCCATTCGTCACCCAAGCATTCGGCATCTACCTCCTGAGCCATTCGCTTGTCGTAGAAGGTGCGTCTGGAAAGAAACACTTCATATTAGAAGGTAGACAAGGATTCTATTTTAGATATAATCTCAAATGGTCTGTGCCAATATAGGCAGCTAAGATAAGACAGCGTGGATTGAAGAAGATATATCTACCTAAGAAATACAAGTAGAATTTCAACATATTTTTGAGTGAAGGCCATTTGTCGGACTACCTTCTGGTGAAAGGTCTTCATTCGAAGCATTGAAGTTCTACTTGTATTTGTCAAATCCACAGCTGTCTATTTTAAATATATGACTAATGACAAAATCTAGGCAGCTTTTCTAATTATATTGTGTTTTATTACTTATAAGAAATACAATTAGATATTCTTTAATTCTTACAGTTTTTTTTCATCATCAACTTCTACCACTTTTTGTGCTCCTGTCGCTGGATATGAAATATTCAGCTGAAATATAAAGACAGACCTTAGAGACAGATCTAAATCTATGCGCTAGTTTTACTCCAGAATCACTATATCAAAACAAGACAAGGGGCGTCTGGCATCGATGATTGAATAAACACCATGGTTAGAAATCTAACACTGGATCTTCTTGTGTTATGGTTATAGGTCTGACATGACCTATCACAAGTGGGCTAGACTATAAAATAACCATCCACTTTCAAACATGTATAACTATATAACTGTTTGTTCTCTAAAAATGACAAAAATACCCGTTCAATACCCAAAATAAACATAGCGGCCTATTTGCATCAAATTCGTCCATATTCATTTATACTATTATATGAAATGTAAAGCGGAATTTTGTTGGACCTGTTTACAAGAAGTCGCTTGTAGTTTAACGGTAAAACAGTGACACAGCAACAAAGACTCCCAGGTTCGATCCTTGGTCAATGCACAATCTTTTCACTTTTTCCTTACAAAATTTTCAGCGATTAAATTTTTTTTTCGATGTCTCTGTAATAATGGACTGATGCTTCTGTGAGTAGGTTTTACTTTTGCATGAAGGAAGGCAATCCCAAATTTTAATTTTAACTACCAGACACCAAGGAAGCAAGTCGATTTCAATAAATGTCGGATCTAGATATAAACCATTAGAACAAGGTCTCCTGGCGGTCCTATAACCACAGGATTAAATTGAACTTCATCTTACAATTGCACACTTGTTTTGTGAAACCAGGAAGTGAAGAATAAGGCTATGTTTACATTGTATCGGATCAGTTTTTGTTTCGTTCGCGGAAAGGTTACGGCCCAAGTGTAAACAGCTTCCGTCCCCGCCCATCTATGCCGTCGTATTTTCTTCTATATATATTATAATAGTAAGTTGTTTTTTGCCAGATTCCATCTTGAGTCACGCATTGAATCGAAATTGCTCCGATTGGTGTTTACATTACAATAAGAGGGTTGCAAAAACCGATCCGATACACCGTGCACCACATCGAAGAGCAAACCGCCGCACCACTGGTTCGTTGCAAAAATTGAGACGATAACAACATTTCATATGTAAACAGAAGCCCTATCCGGTATGGTTTTTGCGTCGGACGCAAAGTGATTCCATACAATGTAAACATAGCCTAAGCGAGTGATGTCAAATAGATCTTGTCCTGGACCTGTTGCACAGAACAAGGCCCCAATCCGGGACAGAATCTAATTGTTGACAATCTCTAGAAGGTGGAGTCAGAACAATCCCTGAACCTGGGATAAGACATGAGGCTTCAACAGCTCCTAAGTGGTGGTACATGTGTGTATGGCATGTAGGCACAGTTAGATTATGTACTGAGCTTGTTAACTTGTACCATAACGTACTATTTAAACTATCATTTTTATATAAATTTCATTATGACTAAACCTTAGGAGCTGTTGTGCAAGTGCTTTATGGCTGAGCCGACCCTGGCAAGCCATAAATATTTCACACACGTCGTGAGAATGTAATTACGCTTCAAAATTTATCAATCTGATATAGCTATGGCTCTCATCGTAACTGCACTACGAATCATAATCCATGTAAATCTCTCCCTTTCGTGACCCATCGAAACAGTGTTTCACTATATTATTAAAATACAGATCTTGAACTAACGATTTTTTCCGATAATAAAGTGAAATGGATTTTTCAAAGCCAAATAATTACCTTCATTTTTTAGTCGATACAAACAAAATTATTTTGGAATCGACATGAGAAAGAAAAGGAAGATTTTCAAGCTGACAGTGCCTTATGGGAAATTTAGGAAACTCGTGCTTCCATTTTACGTAGGAAAAAATTTTAAAAATGAAATTTTAGATAAGAAATATTCATCTATTCGTGACTGTTTGCGGGGAAAAAATTCTTTTGTATGGTGTTAAATTATTTCCAATAAATTTAATATAAGAATATCATTGTGACTTAGGTTCGGTTTGCGCAAAATATTAATGCGCATTTTTTATTATTAATTGTGCAAATTCGTGTGAATATTTTGTGTGATTATTGGTTGTTTTCACATGAAATTGCACCTCCA